ATCTTTTGAAGTCATCTTTGCTACTCTGTTGTTATACAAGCAGTGTTTAGAAAGATTTCAAACAAAAAAGAAGGAAGCAGTTTGCTTCCAAAAGATTGAATTGATTCCATTGGCTGAGAAAGAACTCAGAACTGTGACTGTGATGATGTACTCAGAGAGGATTAAAATTGAGGATATATCTACATGGCTCTCAATGCATTGCTCAGTCACCAAAGCTTTTCAAATCAAAGACGAAGATGGAATTAAGACGGAGCAACCAAGTTTCATGTTCGTTTGAGAACCAATGAAAAAGGAGAGCTCCTCCACCTGCCATCCATCATCCAATTAGGAACAATTAGAGGTTTTGTTTTCTACAACGGTCAACCCAAAGAATGTAGAAAGTGTGGTTCTTTGAACCATCTAGCAGCCCAGTGTGAATCAGTTTTCTGTAGAAATTGCAAAAAGCACGGCCATTTGTCAAAAAATTGCCCGGTACCTATGAAGTGTAACCTGTGTGGTGCAGATAATCATAGATTCCGTGATTGTCCTTCTGCATATGCAAACAAAGTTCGACTACAACCTGTGATGATTTGGGAAAAAGAAACCAATCCTTTGGAAACTACTGAAGCGGATGATATCCAATTTAGTAACCAACACTCCACTGTTCTCAAACCAAAAAAAAAACAGATCTAAGCAAAGATGCTACTTCAAGAGCCTTTCTCCCTCTGACCTCTGGCGATGAGGACCCTGGTCGTGCTAGTATGCATAGCATCTTCAAGGATGGAAAAAATGTTATTCCACAAGCACAAGAGTGTAATCTGGAAAGGAATATGCCAAAATCACACACAGATTTTCCTCTTTTGGGTTCCTCCACTCCCACACAGAAACCCCTTTCCTGTAATGGAAATCTATTACTTGATGGTTTGGGGACCCTCCCTGCATCCTTTCCACTTTTCTTAGACTCCTCTTCATCAGGCGATCAAATGGCAGAAGGGATAGTCTCCTCTCCACCGACTCATGCATCATCGGGAATTCAAGATCAAGAGGATTCTCCCAATTGGGCATCCCTGTCATCCAATTCGATTCCCTTCCTTGAGTCCGATGAAATAACTACTCTTTCCTGTACTATGCAAATGAATAAACAACCGTCTCCAAGAAGAACGGTAATGCAGGAAAAAAAGAAAAAGAGGAAGGTTGAAAAGCAAAACAGAACTAACTTAATGTTTTTTTTTCACCTGTCCTCCTTCTTTTCCCCCTCCAATGGCTCCCATTTCTGTTTCTACCATCAACACTAGAGGCATAATGGACCCAGTGAAATGTACCTCTGTGTTTTCCTATCTATATAATGCAGACCATGATATTGGTTTGCTTCAGGAATGCAATATCCCCTTCAAATCCAATTACAAATATTTAGAAGACAGATGGGCACATGGTCCTTCTGTGTGGTCTGGTGACAATAAGAACAGATCATCTGGTGTAGCTATCCTCTTCAAAGGGAATGATCTAAAAATTGTTAAAACACAAGAAATTGTAAATGGGAGATTGATATATGTTGATGTAAAACTTGACAATATTTGTTTTCGTGTGATTAACGTATATTGCCCCACAGACCTACAAAGTCGTAAAGAAGTCTTGAAAGCAATACCATCTCTATTAATCTGTGGGAAAGAAGTAATTTTAGGAGGTGATTTCAATTGCCCTTTAAGCCAGAGGGATAGAATGCCTTCCTCCACAGTCAATTTGGACTCAAGTTCTCAAGAATTAATCAAATTAGTGGAAGACTTCGGTTTAGTTGATTCCTTTAGAACAAAACACCCAGATAACCCTGGGTATAGCTGGTCTAATGGCCGGAGTTGTTCCAGGATTGATTTTCTTTTTTATCTCGTTGCAAATAACAGTTTTGAATTCAGTAGTAACCCCAACCTTTTTTTCAGACCACGCCAAATTGGATGCTGAATTGGAATTTGGAGGGATAAGAACGAATGGTATAGGGTTTTGGAAACTGAATACCACCTTACTAGATAATAAGGAGGTAGTGCGTCGATATAGAGAAAAGTTGAGTCAATGGATAAGCTTGCAGTCATTATGCAACTCTGTGGGTGAATGGTGGGAAGATTGTAAAATTAGAACAAAATAATTCTTTAGGAATGAGGGTAGAAAAATTAAGAGAAAAAAGCAATGGCCTGTAAATCACACCAAAAGAAACTTCAACAATTTTATACTATGGCTCATTCCGGGTTCGATGTTACGGATGATATTATGAGATTGAAAAAAAACAATCTTAGACATCTATGCGGATCAGAGTAAGAGTTTGATGGTAAGAAGTAGACAACAACATATAGAATCTAATGAGAAATGTACTCGCTACTTCTTTAAAAAATTGCTCCATTCAAGATCGATTATAGATGAATTAAAAAACCAAGAAAATTAATCTATAACTGGAACAAAATAACTAATTTCATATATTCACTCCTTTCATCAAGACCTCTTCTCTGAAAAGAAAATTGATGAAGAAATAATGGATAGTCTTCTTCCGAAAATTTTTGTTGAAGAAGAGTTACTGGTTGATATGGAAAAAGATCTCACAACTGACGATCTGACAAGAGCACTTAATAGTATGAAAGGCAATAAATGTCCGGGAGCAGATGGTTTACCCAAAGAATTCCATGTAAAATTCTGGGAAGAGTTGAAAGAAATAATGCTGTCAATGTTTAAAGAAAGTCTTGCTTTGGGTAAACTTCCCCCGACATTGAGAGTGGGTACCATTTCTATGTTATTTAAAAAAGGGGAAAAAATGATTTAAAGAATTGGCGTCCTTTAATCTTACTGGGAACTGATGTAAAGATACTGTCTAAAGCAATTTTTTTTCTTCTTCAATCCATCATGACAAGTCTAATAGGGAAAGAGCAAACAGGTGGAGTTAAAGATAGATCTTTACATCAAAATCTGGCCTTGATACGCGATTCTCTTCTCTATGCACAAGATCGAAAAATACCCTTATGTGTTCTGGGATTAGATTTAGAAAAGGCCTTTGACAGCATAGACCATCGTTTTTTGCGTAAAGTGTTTGTGTTAGCTATAGAACCTTTAGCTCAAGCTATTAGGCAAAATCCAGAATTCAAGGGGTTAGTAATTCCAGGGAGTTTGGGCAAAGAAGCAAAGTTATCGCTATATATGGATGACCTTACCTTTCTACTTACCAACAATCATTCAATAGAAACAACATTACAGGTATGTGACCGTTTCATGCTAGCAACTGGTATGAAGATCAACAGAAGTAAAAGTGAGATTTTATATTTAAATTGGACAGAACCTCAACACAATTTTGGGTTAAAGAACCAAGATAATGCCATTAAAATATTAGGAATGGTATGGTGTAAGGATATGGAGGAAAGGAATTGGAATTCCAGATTACATCAAATAGAGTGGAAAATAAATCAGTGGGAAGAAAGAGACCTCACTCTTAGAGGTAAAGTGTTAATAATCAATGCAGAGATCATAGCATCGCTTACATATGTAGCGGCAACCTTCCCTGCCCCAAGACGGTTCTTAAATTCTGTAAAGGAAATTATGTTTCGTTTCTTATGGAGTTCTAATCAAGAGAAATTGAAACGCGAAATATTATAAATATGAATTTGTAGTTTGTTCTTGTCATTTTTTTTTGTTTGTTTAGTTTTTTTTTTTGATTTTGTATTTGAAGTGTAATCAGTAGCGGTTCTAGGCACGGGCGAACCGGGCAGTTCTCTTCATGTCACATGGGGGGCGGCGTCTCTTCATGTCACATGGGGGGCGGCACGAGCAGTTAAAAAAAATCTTCTGTGCCTCTAAGGTTTTCTATTTTTTTACCATTTCGATTTAATTATTGGCAATGGCGCCCCTGCTTGCTGAGAAGGTGCCGTGCACAGAAGCGATGTCAAGGTGGTCTCTTGATTAGTTCACGTATCGCGTCTTTTGCGCGCTCGAGGTCGTTATTTCAAATAGGCGATTAGGCGCACGGAGAGCGCTCATTATGCGCTTGCGGGAGGCGCGCTCAAACTTTTCAGTATGGGAGTGCACGTGCACCCAAACACTTGGGTGTTTTTTCTCTTCTCCGTAAATAAATCTTTTAGCAGAGCTTCAGCAAGCGTTTTTCTGTGGTGGAAATACATTAGCTATTAAAACTTCTCTGTCGTTGTGGAGAGCGCAGTGCATGGTTGTATAGCAACGAGAGGAAATCGGTCCGAATTTTACTATTAATAATAAAAGATAAGCTACTGTGCATTTTAAATATCAGGAATGTATCTTTATTGACTCATTCTTTTTATAGAGATGATTGAATGCTGAAATATGAGGTTTATATTTTTATATAAAATCTTTTTTTGTGTTAACCTTTTTTAGTAGGTAAGATAAAACACACTCCTTTAAAACAAAACTTTAATGTTATTAACTTGGTGATTTGATTTCATTGTGTATTAGGCTTTTTGAACAAGATTCTGTGTATGTGATCATGTTGGTCACTATATTCATGAAATGAAAATAATTTACATAATGATCAACTTTGTGTTTTTACAGTAGCCAATATGCAACGTACAATGTTCTATTTTCTAAATAATCTCTGATTCTGTCCTTTTCTCTGACATTTTAAGAGTGACATAGGGCTACAAAAGCTATTTTAGGTCTATAACAGTTTGGATAGTTGTGAATATGAGAGCTGTTCAAAATTATTTAAGAGATAAGTATTGTGTTACTAAATAAGTATCTCTCTGACCCTTTTACTTTTAAAAACTCCATTTCGTGACAAAGTTTAGTTTAACAAGTCATAACGAAAAGTGTGCCATGCATATAATTCAAGGCAATAACCAATGCGCTAATGGTTACTTCCTCCTTTTAATCTAGCACATTAACTGGATTCTATTAACTGTGTTTTTCAAATGAATGGTATGTGATACAATTGTTGTTGTTTTTTGGTTTTTGGGGGGTTGGGAGGGGAGGGGGGGCGCTCGAAGGGGGTCTCGCCCTGGGTGTAATTCAAAGTAGAACCGCCACTGAGTGTGATGAATTAAAATAATAAATAAAAAAATAAAAAAAGTTCACCCAGGGCGAGGCTCGGCCATTGCACTCCGGGTTGTGCTGACCCCTGCGAATTCCCCAAATGTGGGAATCTTGACTGCATAATTTATGGTAGTGGGGGACTGCGTTCGCGCTCTCCCCTGGACAACACTGGTTAAAAGGGCAGATTGTTAAAGCTCCACTTGAGGTTCTTTTTTTTTTCTCCACTTCTTCAATATCTAGAGGCAGTCCAGAGAGTTGAACTGCAGTGGTTGCTCGGGAGATACGAAACAGTCTAGGATATATTTGACGAACGATTTAATTCACAGCAGTTGTCCTGGAGGCAAAGTTGTTCGGAATGAGGAGTTCTATCATGTGGTATGAAAACATTGTGCACGTGTGAAACATCACAAGATATACAGCCACCCATGTTGTTTTTTTCTGTTTACAGCGCCACCAAGTGGCCAGTCGCCACATTCCTCTTCACTCTCCACGCCTCGGCGTCGCTGCGTCATCGGACTTGGTCTTGGCCTGCTTCCTTGCTAAGTACTTTTTGGGCTCGGTATGAATTGTGTAACGCCAATTTCTCCATGTTCACTGTGGAAAAACTGACTGATAATTCGCTGAAAGTGGTGATTGTCAGGATGTTTAATGAAACAGTTAGTGGAGAAGACATTGCTGTATGGTTGGCAAGATATTGCTCTATTCGTGGTCAACCAGTCAAGGTTTTAGATGAAGACGGTATCTGGAGCTGTGCGTGGAGAGTGCCCATTAAACAATGGGCAGATCCCAACAGCTACAATGGCGTGAGTCAAATTCCTTCTATGATTGTGTTGGGAGAGAATAGAGGTTACATCCATTATCAAGGGATGCCCAAGCTATGCCGCAAGTGTGGCCAACTTGGGCATCTCGCCGACGCATGCCAAGAAGTAGTATGTAGGAAGTGCAGAGAAATTGGGCACACTTTTGAAGAGTGCAAAAATGGCAGAAAGTGCAACCGCTGTGGAGAATCATCCCATCTCTACAGAGACTGCCCCCAAAGTTTTGCCAACAAGCTAAAAAACAACAAAATGGCCGCCCCACCCAAAGACAAAACGATAAAGGAGGCGAGCCCTGAGGTTTTGGCGGGAAATTCAAACCCCCAGCCAGCCTCAGGGATTGGGCAGGAAGAAGGAAGTGGGGCGGCCACAGGAGACTCGAACCCTTTAATTTGAATTTTCCATTGACGTTTGTATTTTCTGTTATTTTAACCCTTAAAGAGTTTCTGTATCCTGGGGGATACAGACATTTAACAGGCTGTAGGGGGAGGGGCTATGGGGTGAGGGGCATTATGTGGTTGCAGTTGATGAGAAACACTGATCGGGGGATGGATCATGTTACCAGGTCATGTGACTTTATGCTAAGATTCCATTCATTTGAATCAAAATCCAAAATGGCAGCATTTGTGGACAATGACACTGGCCATGAGGTAAGTCTTTTTATATTTTTCATGATTAAGATATTTTAGAGTGATTTTGTTTTAGAAAATAGTTTTTTAAGGATAGTTTTACATGGTATTGTTAATATTTTTAAAATAATCTTCACACAACTTTGATTATCAGGCATTGAATGTCTGTATCCTGGGGGATACATTGCCCGTTTAAGGGTATTTGACAGGGCTGATCACTCACAGATATTCTTATGTTTTGAGGCCTGTTCTCTACAGATATTGAATAGGATAAATGTTTTTAGGATTACTTTTTACTTTTTTACTTTAGGATTACTTTTTTATTTTACTCTCAAATGTGTATTATTGATGAATTCAACATGTACACATGTTTTCAGGGAATTTCTGTCAGCAGTTTCTACAGTAAAAGAAAGAGAGAGGTGAAGTCTGTAGTTTTGCCACCTGATGGTTCATCAGATTCAGAAGAGGGATCCAGTGAGGAAGTCGAGGAAGATGAGCTGTATAGGCCTACAGAGGGACTGTCAAGTCAAGTCAAGTCACATTTATTTATATAGCGCTTTTCACAATACAGATTGTATCAAAGCAGCTTCACAGTGATAACATGAAAGTAGCACAACACAGATCAACAACATTGCTAAACACTAAATAACCCCAACTGAGCAAGCTCAAAGCAAGCCAAAAGCAAGGCGACAGTGGCAAGGAACCAAACTCCATCAGATTGGATGGAGAAAAAACCTTGGGAGAACCCAGGCTCAGTCGGGGGCCAGTTCTCCTCTGGCTTACATTCATATTGTTTAAATATAAATATTAAGTATAAATATTGTTTATGAATCAAACGGCGCCATAACATATCGCAGGCGTTGAGTCGTCTCATCACAGGCGTTGAGTCGTCTCATCACAGGCGTTGGGGCATCCGAAATCCCCGTGAGAGGCTGGACACAAAACTGGACCTGACGAACGCCATTTTTCTCGGGACAAGCGTCCCGAGATAACAGCAGAAAGGCAGATGGGAAATAATTAGCATAGCTGATGTTCATAATGATTTCCGTTATAACTCACAAACTCTCCGTAACCCGAACTCTCCGCAACCCAACCATACGCGCCGACCCGTTTGTCTAAAAGGCTGTCGAGCCCCACTGGTGCGTTAAGCAGTTTCAGTGGCAAACGGTTCCGTATGGCATAACAGAGGACTAGAAGGTAAGCATTATGTGAATGCTTGACTAAAGAGATGCGTCTTTAATCTAGTTTTGAACTGTGTCAGCGAGTCAGAGGCTCGGACCGTATCGGGAAGGCCATTCCAGAGTTTTGGAGCTAAATGCGAGAACGCCCTCCCTCCTTTACTGGACTTCGATATCCTAGGAATGACCAGAAGCCTTGAATTTAGTGATCTTAAGGAACGCGGTGGATTGTAGGGCGAAAGAAGGTCCGTTAAGTACATAGGTGCTAAACCATTTAGGGCTTTATAGGTCAGTAGTAGTATTTTGTAGTTGATGCGGAACTTAATAGGTAACCAGTGTAGAGATGATAAAATCGGTGTTATATGATCATATTTTCTTGACCTAGTAAGAACTCTAGCAGCTGCATTTTGTACTAACTGTAGCTTGTTTATTGAGGATGCAGGACAACCGGCTAATAAAGCATTACAGTAATCTAGTCTCGAGGTCATGAATGCGTGAACTAATTTTTCTGCATCAGAAATAGATAGCATGTTACGTAGCTTAGCAATGTTTCTAAGGTGGAAAAAGGCTGTTCTTGTAACATATGAAATATGATTTTCGAACGACAAGTTGCGGTCTAGTATAACACCCAGGTCTTTTACTGTTGTGGATAAAGTAATAGGACATCCGTCTATATTAAAGTTGTATTGTGAGAGGTTTTGTGAGTAGTTTTTTGGACCAATAAGTAATACCTCCGTTTTATCTGAATTTAATAGCAGGAAATTACGCGTCATCCAGCATTTTATATCTTTGAGACACTCTGTCATTTTAGATGAGTTAGTGTTTTCATCTGGTCGTGATGAAATATATAATTGAGTGTCGTCAGCGTAACAGTGGAAATTAATTCCATGTTTTCTTATAATATTACCAAGTGGCAGCATATATATTGAGAATAGCAGAGGGCCTAAAACCGATCCTTGCGGTACTCCATAGTCTACTGACGTTATCTTTGATTTTTTCCCATTTAAACAGACAAAATGAGAACGGTCCGATAAGTACGATCTAAACCAGCTTAATGCCTGTCCCTGGACACCGGTGAAGTTTTGTAGTCGATCCAAGAGTATTATATGATCTATAGTGTCGAACGCAGCGCTAAGATCAAGTAGGACTAGTATTGAGATACAGCCTTGGTCAGAAGCTAAAAGTAAATCATTTGTAATTTTAACTAGCGTGTGTGAGGATGACAGCAGCAGTGACAATTTGAATGGCAGCTCTAGTGATGAGGCAGAGGAAGCAGCAATGCAGAATAACCAAGCAAACCAGAAAAAACGAGGGAAGAAGTTTAGGTAATTAGATAATTAGGTAATTTAGGTAATTAGGTCATTTATATTTTTAAAGGAGTATTTCAAATTGTTATGTGAAAGATCTAGTGCTTTTGCTGTATATATTGTATCTGTAAATGAGTGGAGGGAAGAGAATACTTTCTCTATTTTACACGCACGCACAAACACATTCTCTCTCTCTCACCTATAGGTGGTTTATGTTGAAAATTGGAAAATATTGATAATTTTTCCTTTTCAATAGTTGGAGAAAAACTGAGTTTGACCACCAGTCCGCTGCCACACAAAGCTGCTTCACTGCACCAGAAGAGCTCTCCACTCCGCTAATGTACTTCTCCAAATTCTTCGACAAGGACATCTTTGAAGTCATTGCTCAGCAGACAAACTTGTATTCCTGTCAGCTCATTGGATGTAGCATCAACACTAATGTGTCTGAAATCAAGGCTTTCATTGGAATGAAGCTGATCATGGGTATAGTGAAAATGCCTGCAATGGAAAACTACTGGGCAACAGATACAAGATATGACAAAGTAGCAGATGTCATGCCTCTCAAAAGGTACAAATGTTTATCCAGGATGCTCCACTTTCAAGACAACATGAGCTCTGAGACCAGTGAAGATCGCCTTGTGAAAATAAGGCCTGTACTGGACCACATGAGGAGCAAGTGCATGGAAATGGAGAGTGAGAACCAGTTCTCAATTGATGAGATGATGGTTCCTTACAAAGGCAAAAAAGCAGGAAGTCTGCGGCAGTATCTACCCAGTAAACCCAAAAAATGGGGTTTCAAGATCTTTGTCCGCGCTGGTGTGTCTGGATTTGTGTATGACTTCATGGTCTATACAGGGAAGTCTACATTTGATGGTTCTACTCAAACTCAAGACAAAGAGTTTGGGTTAGGTGAAAATGTTGTCCTGCAGTTGTGCAAAACCATCAGAAATCCCTCCGACTGTGTTGTCTACTTCGACAATTTTTTCACATCGTTGGGATTGGTAACACATCTAAACGATTCTATGGGGCTCAGAAATTTGGGCACTATTCGAAAGAACCGTTTGATGGGTTGCAGCGTAGCAGAAGATCGAGACCTCCTACGAAGAGGTAGAGGCAGCTTCGACTTTCGTGTTGACAATGATGCAAAGCTGGCTGTGGTCAAATGGGCCGACAACAAAACAGTCACTTTGGTGAGCTCCTGTGCGTCTGTCAACCCTGTTGGCCAAGTGAGA